TTTGTATACAATAATGGGATGAGATTCAGCACCAAGGATAGAGATAATGACGGATACTCGAAAGGATCATGTTCTCAAATCTATACGACTGCTGGATGGTTTTTTTTTCTAGTTGTTCTTACACAAACCTTAATGGTGTATACAGAAAAGACTCTAAGAATGATGCCAAAGAACTGAGTTGGTATAAGTGGGAAAACACTTGGTGGTCTCTGAAGTCGGCAAAAATGATGATTCGTCCAAAACAATAACAAATGTCAAGTATAATTGCATTCAATAAAATGACTTCCTTGCATTTACACTATTCAATTTTTGTTCGTAATTACGAACCTCTAGGCAACAACAATGACGCCAATACCATATTTTCTTTGAAAAAAAAATCGAATTGATATTTGGAATTTCTTGAATATTGATATAGATACTAAAGAAATTAATACAATTACATGTGTGCACATGTTATATTTTCATTTTGTAAATATTGCTTTAAAGTTTTCGAACTTAGGTAGAATGAAATGATTACAATTTTTATTAATAATTAAAAATAATTATCTGACGTCTCTTTACAATGTACCATAATTTTTTATTAGTCCCCTACCGGTGAAACCGGAGGGGACTATAGGTTTTCTCTGAGTCTGTCCGTCCGTCTGTCTGTCTGTCCCTCTGTCTGTCTGTCAGTCTGTCCCACTTGATTTTCCGCACTTTTTTCCTAAACGCTTGCAGATATTGAGCTGTTTTTTGGTATGTGAGTGTATCTTGATGAGTTACAGATCAAGTTTGCATTTCGTTCCGCTTCATTGATTTTTGACGGAATTATGGCCTTCTCAATTTTTAAGGGTTTTCCGCAATTTTCTTCTAAACGCTTTCAGATATTGAGCTGATTTTTGGTATGTGACTTTACCTTGATTATTTATAGATCAAGTTTGCTTTTCGTCCCGCGTCATTAATTTTTGACTGAATTATGGGATTTTCAATTCTTAACCAATTCTTAATGGGAACCAGATTACACTTGCCGGTAGGGGACTAGTATTGCTAATGCAATACTCTCAGAATGCTTGTGTCGCCCGCGTGGCGCAGTGGTTAGAGCGTCTGCTCTAGAGTCGCGAAGTAAGGAGTTGATCCTTACGTCGCGGGTTCGAATCCCACTGTGGGACGTAGAGACCGGTCCTTCAGATGAGACCGTATAAACCGAGGTCCCGTGTCGCAGTTGGTGCTGGCACGAAAAAGATCCCTCACTGTTCAATGGCCGTAAGTGCCGAGTATAGGACAAAATTTGCAGCTCTCCACCGGCAAGTGGTGGCGTCTCCATATGAGTGAAAAATTCTCGAGAGGGACGTTAAACAAAATACAATCAATCAATCAATCAATCAATCAGAATGCTTGTTAGTCCCCTACCGGTGAAACCGGAGGGGACTATAGGTTTCCTCTGAGTCTGTCCATCCGTCTGTCTGTCTGTCTGTCTGTCTGTCCGTCTGTCTGTCTGTCTTTCTGTCCCTCTGTCTGTCTGTCAGTCTGTCCCACTTAGTTTTCCGCACTTTTTTCTTAAACGCTTGCAGATATTGAGCTGATTTTTTGTATGTGAATGTATCTTGATGAGTTACAGATCAAGTTTGCATTTCGTTCCGCTTTATTGATTTTTGACGGCCTTTTCAATTTTTAAGGGTTTTCCGCAATTTTCTTCTAAACGCTTGTAGATATTGAGCTGATTTTTGGTATGTGGCTTTACCTTAATTAGTTATAGATCAAGTTTGCATTTCGTCCCGCTTCATTAATTTTTGACGGAATTACGGTATTTTCAATTCTTAACGGGAACCCAGGGATATCTTGAACGGTTGTTGCTAGGGCTTTCGTATTTAACGTTTATTCCTTGTGATAACACCTTCCCTTGGGTACCATTATTTTTCACCCTTTGACATTGACGTTTGATCTACTTTTGAAAAAAGTTTATTATTGGTCATAATTAAAAAAAAAATTGTTACTAGGGCTTTCATATTTCACATGCGTATTCCTTGTGACAAGATCTTTCTTTTGGTGCTAACAGTTTTGATTTTCTGACTTTGGAGTTTGATTTACATTTTAGAAACATTAAAATTCGGCATAATCTGCCATAGAGGGGCATCAGTGTTTCACAAACACACCTTGTTTTACATGTATTATTTTTAGCACCTTGCTTTACATGTATTATTTTTAGCATGTATGTACCAAATGAAATGATCCATGCATACTAAGTCGTAATCTAAGGGAAGTTTATTTATTCTTTATTATTGTTAAAGTCTGTATTCACTATCTATTAAAAATGCCATGTTCCAAATGAATAAATAAGTATAAAATATCTATTTCTTATTAATTTATATAACATGCATCTATTTGAAATAATTATTTATAAAATTGTTTCGAAAATGTTTAAAGCAGAATATATGCTTTCACGAACATGTGAAAACCTCGTTATTCAGATCTGTAGAGAAATACACTACATATATAAATGTTTGTTTGTTTAACGTCCATCTCGAGAATTTTTCACTCATATGGAGACGTCCCAACTTGCCGAAAGAGGGCTGTAAATTTATACTTGTACTTCGCACTCAGGGCCATTGAGCAGTGAGGGATCTTTTTCGTCCGACACGGTACCTCGGTTTATACGGTCTCATCCGAAGGACCGACCTCCACGTCCCATAGTGGATTCGAACCCGCGACGTGAGGATCAGCTCCCTACTCCGCAGTCTAGAGCAGACGCTCTAACAATTGCGCCACGCGGGCAACTATACATAAATCAAAAATCGTAAAGTTTCTACATTAAACTCGAACTTTTTTTATCTACTTGAGATATCAAACATCGCTTTTCTACCTTATTCAGCAGCGTGTTTCTGCATTTTGAAAAAATATAACAAATTAAAGTTAAACAGAATTCATTCACAATTTCTTATTTTACATTGTTGTACGTACTGTGCCACAGCATATCAGATGTGGATCCTAAAAAACTTCGAAGAACTTATAGAAACTTTAACATCTCCATTTTTTTTCTCAAAAGTTTATAACAACAAAACTTACGACTTCTCTACATTTTATACAACAATTCCTCACGATAAATCAAAATTTAGACTTTTTGATATCATAGACAACTGCTTCTTTGATAAAAACGGAACTCGGAAATTTTCTCATCTTGTGATTGGTCCTCAGCAAAATTACTTCGGTAAAAACCACTTTGATTGTACATACAAGTACCCTAGTAGATATTAAAGGATGCTGGATTTCCTCATTTACAACATTTATGTAGTCTTCGGAGACCAAGTTCAAACAAACTGTTGGAATTCCGAAGGGCACTAATTGTGTTCCTTTATTAGCTGACCTGTTTTATATTCCTACGAAGCAAAAACTTCTACATGAGAAGAGGAAAATACTTGCCGTGGCCTTCAATTCAACATTCAGATATATCGACGATGTTTTATCAATTAACAATAGTCATTTTGTCGCCCGCGTGGCGCAGTGGTTAGAGCGTCTGATCTAGAGTCGCGAAGTAAGGAGTTGATCCTTACGTCGCGGGTTCGAATCCCACTGTGGGACGTGGAGACCGGTCCTTCGGACAATACCGTATAAACCGAGGTCCCGTGTCCCAGTAGGTGCTGGCACGATAAAGATCCCTCACTGTTCAATGGCCGTAAGTGCCGAGTATAGGACAAAATTTGCAGCTCTCCACCGGCAAGTGGTGGCGTCTCCATATGAGTGAAAAATTCTCGAGAGGGACGTTAAACAACATACAAACAAACAATAGTCATTTTCATTCATATGTCGACTCCATATATCCGAGTGAACTTGAAATAAAAGACACCACAGAATCTGCCACGTCTGTTTCATATTTAGATATTTTACTGACTATAGACGATAAGGGCCAACTAACAACAAAATTGTATGACGAATGAGATGACATCAGCTTATCAATTGTCAACTTTCTTTCTTTACGTAGTAATATTCCACTATCAAGTATTTATGTCTCCAAACTTATTCGCTATTCATGAGCTTGCTCTGAGTGTGATCAATTTTTAACGCGAGGCAAGCTACTCATTGATAAGTTGATATTACAGGGATTTCATCAACCTTGTTTAAAGTCAGCATTTCGTAAATTCTGTGGTCGTTATTATGACCTTGTTAGCAAATATAACCTATCACTGGGTCGTTTTTGGCTGACTTGTTTCAATCTAAATGTTAGGCCTTTTTTAAATACTAGATTTGACTACGCAGTGTATCCTTGATCAATTCGTAGGGCTCACGGTGGGTGTGACTGGTCAACAGGGGATGCTTACTACTCCTAGGCACCTGATTCCACCTCTGGAATTTCCAGGGGTCTGTGTTTTATGATCTCCTCACATATTTGTATTGTTTACAGATTTTTTTTTAAATCGATCACTGTTATCTTTACCTTTTACATTGTAGAACTATGATTTAATGTTATATAGTTTACTACCACTTCTAAAGACAACAACCTTAGTTTTTGATACATTAACAAAAAACCCCGTTGTTCTCATTGAACTGTGTATACATGTTTAACTTACTATGTTAATTATAAGGAAAAGCTTTTTTGGTATTTTTTATTATTATCAGCAATAGTGCTGTAACTAAACTAAAATACCATACCCAATATTTCATATTGTTCGAAAGTTTTGCTGCATAATATATTTTCACTGATATTCAGGTATAGAATTGATGTACATATGCTTTGTCAGTATATAAAACACCGTATTCAAAGGATATACAATGTCAGTAAGGCTTTTAACTAACATTGATATCACAGGCCTGCTACATATAGGTAGATTTCACTAAATTCGTCATTCAGTATTCACAAATCAAGCATTATTTTTTTTCCTTGATGAAAGAAATTTTTCAACCGATCAAAAACACCGATTTCTCATCAAAATAATAAATACTTAATGATGGTAACATGTATTTTACCCCATTCTTCAATCAGGTGTAAAAAAATTTACACCCTGCTTGTTTACCAATCAAAACTCTACTTCAAAGTTACAGAAGAAATAAAATTTTTATGTGTATACATGTAGATCATGTCTAAATCATGCATCTGCTTTGAAGTTTTGAAATAAAAAACAATTTGTCAGTAATACATTTATAAAACATCCAAGTGGATCCAAGTTTACACTTCATCATCCTTGAGCAAGACCTGTGTCATCTTTTTCGAGCTCTTTCTCTTCTTACTAACATTATCTCAATGAGCAACAGTGCTTTGAACAACTCCTTGCGATCTTGTCGATTTAAGAAGTTATAGCGCCTGCTGTAGTGAAATTGAGGGTATTCTTCATCATCTAATATCAAAGATCCAGCTATATTTACAGGGGTATCTCCAATTTTCTGCATTGTTATGGGATAAACCTTGAGGAAAGTTATCTGTACCTGTAAAACATTGTAAAGAAATAAGTTCACTGTATTTTCATATGATTACAAGTACATGTAATATATGTAGTATTCATAGTAATTAGTAATCTGAGTAATAACCATTATACCTCAGGGAGATTCAGAATATATTTGTTATATAATAAAGATTAAGAAAACCATACTTAAACAAATTTTACATCCATTAATTTTTGCCTACCCATGTCTTTTCAATGATGAATCCAAGTATTCTATCAGATATAGGTGATTTGTTCAGGTGCACAAAAAGGTCTCCAATGTGCTGTACTGGAATTCTCTGACCACCATTGCCAATTGTTTCCTCATCTGGATGGGAAGTAAGTCTGAGTTTTTTTTTAGGAGTAAAGTCATCGCCTTCTTTTGGCACAGGTTTAATTACCTACAATTTTGACATATTGCTATTAAACCTTACCCAATGTCTTCTTTTGCAATGTATGTCAATTATTCTGTCACAAAATAGTTTGTGGGCCTTTTCTTTTGAACCATTGACTAGGATGAAGTCAAACTTTAATGGATGTTCCCCTTGACACAAAATTATGTTAAGACACCATTCATGTATCTCAAAAGTCAAGGTCAACAGTTAATAAAATGTTTTAAATATATTTTCCGGATGGTGAAATCCTTGATTCCTTAATTCAAACTTAAATATTTTGTTGCCTACAACTTGAATCTTGACTGAAGTAATAGAAGATCCAAGAGGTCAAAGTCAAATCAAACAAGTTTAATCTCTTTAAATGTTGTTGCTCTGGAAACAAATGTAGAATATTAATATCATATTTGAATAAAAGAGTTAATATCAAGACATAAATTTTTGATGCAAACAAATTTTCATCAAGGTCATTTAGTGATTGCCTGGGATATGGTTTGGGTATGAGGGAGAACTAGTTTCACTTGAGTTATCAATTTTACAGTTGCTCTGAAGTAAATACATCAATAAACTTTGAACTAAAAATGGATTTGTGAAGAAATTGTACTTACCTCACAAATGCAAACTGTTTGTTGTTCAAAATCATCTTGACAACAAACAATGTCAGGTTTAGAGCTCATAGTTCTACCAAGGATCTGAGCCTTGTGTGTGACTAAGAATGGTCCACTCCTATACAATTATAAATTGTTTGTCACAATTCTTAATTACATGTATTTAATATAGTTCCCAAATCCTAATATCACATTTACCATTCACAATGTTCAATCTGGGGCTTGTATAAAAATATTTTGATAAACTCTTTCCAACAGAAATCTACTAAAGGCCATAAAATATTTTAAAATTTTTCACCATTTACTCATACTAAACGTTCTCCTCATGCTCATGGATGTTTTTTGTTTGCTCAGTATTTAATTTTTTGTGCTCTCCTTTTCTTGGTATTTCTACCATTTACTCATTTCACTTTCACTATTCAATATATTTTAGTTTTCACTCTTTGTTCACCCACAGTTTGTTACCCATCACTCTCCTTGACCTCATCTTATGTTCATCAATTACATTCCATTCACTCAATATCTGTTCAGCATTAACTCACAGCTTATTCAATATTCACTTGTCATTCATGTACCATTCACTTTCAGTTTACACTTAGCTTCATTTGACCTATCTGTTTACTCTCAATTTATTCTTTGCTCATTGGTACCTCCTTTCATAATGTTTCAATCAGCATTATTTTGTATGAGAATATAGGAAGAACATTTTTCAGAAACTGCAGTTGTTCATAATAAAAAAGTAGGGTTCTATTTTGGAATATCACATAAACAAAGCTTGTAATCAGTATGACTAGAATAAAGTAGAATATCTTTGTTTATATTCTATCATAGACCTAAAGCTCTACAAAAAGTTTACATTACCTTTAAGAGCTACATGTATTGTATAAGTCAACAAAGTTCATGTTTAATCCTAGCTTGTATTATAAAATTTACATTCAGCAAGGTGATACTTGAGAGGACATTGTGATTGAAATTAAGTGAAGTATTAAAGGGTTGAAAATTTTATGGATGCTGGGTGCTAACAAATACACAGTATACGCACTAGAAACTTATTTTCATACTTACAAAGTCATTAAACCAAATGCCTGCAGCACCTTTTCAAACAAGACCAGGTATTTTAACCTTTGTTCCATTTCATTAGACTTGGTTTGTGATATTATGGAGGAGATGCAGCGGTTGATTTCTGTCAATTTTCCTAAAAACCTGCAAGAATTAATCATATGATCATGATGATACCCCCAAAAACACGTGTGAAGTTGCAATTGATAATCAGTAAGCCAACTCATACCTATATCTAGAAGAGCTTTTCTGTCATGAAAAATAAATACAGAAACAATTAACTTAAAGTACATGTACGAGGGTCATTCAAAACGTTCATAGACTTTTGTTATAACTATTTTATTTCACGTTATATTATAACCTTTGGTACACATATTTTATCAATAGATTCAAATAATTTGAGTAAAAAAATTGGAATATATCTTGATATTTATAAAAAATTATCAAATACATGTATTTAAGACAGCAAAAAATGGGATCGCTCCCGGAGCAGCGTCAAAATTGAGTTATTTACTAATTATACACTTCATAATGTCTATAGTCATACATCTATCAAATGGCGTTTAAACGAAATAACATTTAAATGTTCAAGTTAAGTATTGTTCTATTACTTCAGATGCTTAATTGTAATTTAATACATTGCTTCGTTTAAAACATATCAATTTCTGAAGACAAATAGACTTCATAAAGAAAGAAAGAAAGGAAGGGAAAAAAGATGACGTCGAAGGACGTCACGGAGGAGCGAGTAGCGATAAAATTTTGCTTTGATTCGGGAAACCTTTAGACCAAACTCTGAAAATGATTGAGGAACCAGGAAATATATAAAAAAAAAATTAGCCGCGCATTTGTTTATTCATGGAAAGACAGTGACTTTGAATCGGACGATGGACGGTCTGCAAAGAAACAGATTATAGTTAAAAATCTGGTCAAAAGCGTTAGCAACATCATGAAACGTGTTGTGCGCTTCACTTTTGCAGAACTTGTGAAAGCAGGGTTACGCGGTAAGAATGTGGAAACACTGACAATCTAACTTAAGCTACTCGAAAAATTGTTAGCAAATTAGGTGTCAAGTGATATTGATACGTTTTTTATGAATGAGTAAGACGCTACAAATCGTGTGTGAAATGAAAAGGGAGAGTAATTTTGAGAAACTTTTTCGACGTTGTTTTTGACGTTACAATGTTGTTAAGCGTGCTCCGTGGTGACATGTTGCGTTTAAAATTGAGTTACATGAGTTCCATTTAATCTAATGGAATGAAACTTCACACATCGACAAAATAAATGTTTTTACATATGAAAATTTGTTGATTTTAAATCTTGTAAAAAATAATATGATGATGAGGGACATTAAATTGTCTTATTTGTCTACGTACTTTTTAAAATGACCCTCGTATATAATAAGCATCTTAAAGTACAGTGCAATTCAACGATCCATCAGTTTAGGCCAAAAATTAAAATAAATACAGTAAATCATAATCATGATTATATATAACCGATAAAGGAATATCCTTTTGAAATATTACTTGTACGTATTGTATTTGTGTAACCGGTTCTTGTAGAGTAAATATATAAACAATACGGTATATAGGGTTGGATTCTTATTTATTCCGTGGAGATAGACCTTGAAAGTTGTTAAATTTTAAGGTGAAATAAATATTTCGATCAACCCTAAAATAACAACATTTAATTTAATTTTGTTTGTATTCTAGTCTCTGATTGGTTAATATCCAAAAAGGAACACAAATTATTACTGTATAACCTGGTTTGGTATGGGGACCCCCCCCCCCCCCCAGAGCCAGCTGAATCATCTGTATACATACAATCCTCTCATTTCCAGTCTTCGGGATTCATGGAAAATTCCAGATTTAATAAATGTACCAAACAATAATTCGATATTACGACATGTAAACAAACAACAAGGCCTATGTATCAGTTTTTACCTCCCCTCGCTTCCCATCAGTTCCGGTACTTCCGTTACTACGGTTGTATTATTGAGCGGCAAATTTGAACTAATGAAAAGCAACGAAATTTTACACCCATAGTCCATAGTTAATAAGTTATTTAATGATTTTAAAATTAAATTATAAGGAATGGCTCTCATTCCTAAAATAAATACACAGACAACATATAGACGAGTACATTCATTATACAACACAAAACGATCACAATTTAAACACATACTTGATAAAACTCTTTCAAGACAATTATAGTAATTAAAACATAACTTGCTACTACTTTACAATACCTTCAACTTTATAACTTTAATGTCTTTTAAATTAAAACTTTCACTCTACCACATTCATACTCGTTTAGCAAGTTTAAATTTAAAATACTTTACTTCATTCATTATCATAATTTTAGTTTATGATCATTGAATTAGTTTAAGAAAGGGACTTACTTACTATTTATGGATGTTTAATATACTCCAAAATATATATATAAAAAAATCAAATTAGAACAAACACAAGACGTATAATCAAATATGCTCAATATTTTCACCCCCTATTGCCCTGGGAACTTACCATACTTACCATTTTGAAACTAAAGGCTCTCTTAAAATTTCATTCTCCTGTGACTGTGAGCGCAATTTCCATTGAAATTCTGGAGCAAATGCTTTTTCCACAGGTATATCTTCTAAACATTCGTAACTAGTATTTAAATCACAAGCTTTGAGACAACTTTTAACTTCAAGATGATCTTCTTCAAATAAAGTAAATAAACGCCAGCTGTTTACGATAATTTCAAAGATGTCACTTTGTTTACATCGCACTCCTAGTTTGTCAGTGAAATTACGATTCAATTCAGACGTGCTCTTTGGAAATTCGCTGGATTTTAGTGATTCACAAACGGATGTTAAATCGGGAGAGCTCTTAGACATGTCTAGTACAGAAAAAGCAGTTCTTTATCACCGTGATAACCGCCACATCATGCACATGGAGCCGTGTTCTACTTTCATTTTCTCCTCAACGGTTTCAGGTCAAATTGAGCACAAGGTAAGTTTGCCTGACCAACGAGTTATGTGTACCATTTGTCTCTATATTTATTATAATCCCCAATATATAACGAAAAACATAATTTTGACACCTAAAAGACTGTATAAACAGTAATAGATGTGTTCATCTCTGGTAATACCAATGTGTGTATGCACCATGGTATGGAATAATTAACAAGGAATATGAAATAACCAGGGCTAAACATTTTTGATTAATTTAATGTTTTGAAAGGAATTAGATAAATATATATTATAGGTCCATTGGCAATAGTAGATTTAGAATTTGAATAAAAATAGACCGGACGCGATGGGGGAACTATTGATTAATGCGGCATAAAAACAGTGTGAAAATTTTTGGTTTGCGATGGTACTCGTTCACAACAGTAAATATAGTATAAGATGTAAATATTAAAAGATACATTGAAACATGAAACACTTGAAAATATTCTAACTGAAACGGAATATAGTCTTATTAGTAAATTATTAATTAAAATTATGTAGTAATATCAATATTTGTAAGGTAAATGTGCATCTTGCTTGGATCTTCGTGACAAAACATAGCTGATATATATTATTGTCGAGATCTACATATTTCATTTGCGTGTCAACTGTTGGAAAACATGCAATATATTAAATATCATAATAATTATTTTGCTGTTTAATTTATTACCCCATGAGTTTATATATTCCACAAAAAGCAGGAATTAATCTTACAAAACACACGTATACGATATTTAAAAAAAGAGATATAGAAGCAATGTTGAAGCTCTTGATCTTAGCAGTCTTGTATTCTATTGCTAATTCCATGAGGATAAAACTTCATTTGACAGGTAATTTTGAAGGTTGTATAGAAGAGAAAAGAAAAATATTTTTTTATTAATATGCACACGTGTGCATAAAATACAGATTTGAATTTTTGAGATATTTTGATGAGCACCGAAAATCTATGATTAATTTTCTCGTAGATGAAGTCAAATCTATGTTGAGGAAATCTAAATGGGTTCACAAGAACACAGCTGTTTCTATACAAGGACCTATGACTCTGGATATACAGTCAAGTTATAAACTGAAGGAAGGACAAGTGTTTCTTAAATCACGTGAGTTTTTACCGATATACATGTATAGTAAAATAGTTTTGGCTCAATGGATCTTTACGCACTTTATACTAAAAAAAAATTATGAATGAATTATTTCTATGATATTTTTCTTTATTGCTCAGATATCAAGGAGAAGTACAAGGACTGTGCTGATATCCTGAAACACAGACCCCGAAGTAAAGACGGCGTGTACACGATTTATCCTGACATGAAGACAAAGAAGTCGGTCTACTGTGACATGACGACTGACGGAGGCGGATGGACAGTAAGCATGGCAATAAATACTGATATATTAAAGAATATCTACATTTTTAGGTCACCTGATTCACTCAGGTGACCTATTGCTATCTGTTTTTGTCCGTCGTCGTTCGTAAACTTTTGAACATTTTTAGCTTCTTCTCTGGAACCACTGAACCAATTTCAACCAAATTTGGCATATAGCATCTATGGGTGAAGGGGAGTAAAAATTGTGAAATTCATGGCCCCTGCCCCCCTGGGGTCTGAGGGGTGGGGCTAAAACCCTCAAAATTAATGCCATCTTTAAAAAATCTTCTTCTTTACTCCTGGACATCAAGCAGTCAAACTGCTGGCATGGTTGTAATAAGCATTGAGCCCTCTACCAAAATTGTGAAATTCATGGCCCCTGGGTCAGGGGTTCTGGTGTTAGGGCGGGGCTCTAATGATTATATAGTGAAAATGCATTAATTCTTTGAAAATCTTCTCCTCTGCTCCTGGGTATTAAGCCCATGTAATAAGTTCATAGTTATGATGAGGAAGAATGCCTCTTCCAAAATTGTGAAATTCATGGCCCCTGGGTCAGGGGTTCTGGTGTTAGGGCGGGGCTCTATTGATTATATAGTGAAAATGCATTAATTCATTGAAAATCTTCTTCTCTGCTCCTGGGTATTATTTAAACAAACTAAGTGCATGGTTATGATAAGGAATGATGCCTCTTCCAAAATTTTGAGTTTCATGGCCCCTGGGTCAGGGGTTCTGGTGTTAGGGCGGGGCTCTTTAATTATGTAGTGAAAATGCATTTATTCTGTTAAATAATCCTGTCTAATCCTTAGTGTTGAGCAGGTAATAAAGTGCATGGTGCTTCTTACAAAATTTTTAAAACTTTGTGGCCCCAAGGTGAGGGGCTTTTGTGTATCTCATTGGGGGGGGGGGGTCTATTGATAATATAGTGAAAATGTGTTAATTCTTTGAAAATCTTCAACTAAGTGCAGAGTTATGATGATGAGGGTACCTCTTCCAAATTTGTGAAATTCATGACCCTGGGTCATGGGTTTTGGTGTTAGGGTAGGGCTGTGTTAAATCTGTAGTCATGGTACATGTAGTGAAAATGCATTATTTTTTTGAAAATCTTCTCTGCTCCTTGGCATATCAAAGGCAAACAAAGTAAAAGTTTTAATAAAAGGATATTTTTACCAGATTTTTAAACATCTGGACCATTTGGTCAAGTGTTCTGGTCCTGGCCAGGGCTCTATTAATTTGTATTCTATTGAGAGAAGTTATTTCCCCTTAGCAATTCACTTTTGATAATTAACCACTGCAAATAATGTATTTGAAAAGTTAATAGAATAAGAGAATTGTGCAAGAAATTTTATAGTATAATACAAAAACTACTTTCATAGTTTTAATGATCAGATAGACTTGTAAATAATAGAATAATAAAACTGAGACAAAAATAACTTACTAAAATGTTCTTGAAAGACCAAGAGAGGCCAGTGTGAGAGATTACAAGTTGGGGTTAAAAATAGTACAGAATTACCAATAGTTTGTTAACAGTCTGCATAGTGATAGTGATAAATTGGGGACAGATTAGAATTTAATTTTAATATGAGTTGTTACTAAATATTAAACTAATTAATTCATTGATCCTGATCATCCTATTTCTCTTGCTTTTGGGCAACAAAGCTTCATCTACCAGTTTATTTTATATTCTATGGATCCTCTAAGTTGTATTATACTACAAATGTAAGGTGACCGTTAAGGCCTTTGGGCCTCTTGTTTGATTAACATTGAGTTGAAATTTTTTTTTTTTTTTTAGCTTTCTGTAGGCAAATATTTTGACGATTTGAGTGAGTTGTTGCAAATAGATACAACTCAGTGAAGAATCTTCGAAGAAACTTGAGGAAAATGGAAAAATGGAGAATTATTTCTCTAGTTTAAAAACAAAAATGTCTGTAACACGCAATAGTTTTTTCATATGGACTTTTCGTCAGTGAAGATTGGGGAATAAGCTTTGTAGGATAGCTACTCGCTTTTTCTACTGTAACTCTAAACTGGCAGATAGATTAAAGTTGAATGAAGAATTTTTAAAAGTTGTTACAGTTTTAAATTCTCTGAATTCTAAAACTTTAATATATCCGTTTCCCATTTGGCACTACATTTACTCTTTTTAAAGCTATTAACAATAAGTTTATTTTAATTATTTTCGGATTGTTTTGGCGTAAAGCTTTTTTTTTTTTTAAATAAAATAAATATGTTGTGTGAATATTCGTAATCAATGGGATTAAGTTGGGAATATCTGTAATTAAGGTGATGCAAAGACGACAAGATGGCGTAACTGACTTCTACAAGAACTGGACCGAGTATAAAAACGGATTTGGTGATCCAGAAAACGAGTATTGGATAGGTAATATTAATATAATATTTACCAAAAAATTCTTTAATTATTTTGTGGTATTTTGAGAACGTTTTTCTTTGTTTAGGAAATGATGCTATTCACACACTGACAAAAGACAAGAAACAAGAACTAAGAATAGATCTGGAGAAATTCTCTAGACAAAAAGCACATGCAACTTACTCCACATTTTACATCGGAAATGAGGCGGAAATGTATAAACTGACAGTAGGAGGATTTAAGGGAACCAAAGGTCTAGGTAAGGGAAGAAAGCTACATTTTATAACCAAACATGGAGATGTTTTTTACTTCAGATACCGGATAAATGGACCCATTTCAAAAAATGATTACAAACATTATTATAAAGCATAATTTACCATACTCTCTCACATTTTCTGTCTGTCTGCCCGACATACTAGACTTTCTCTCTCTCTCTCTGCGTGTGTGTTTGTGTGTGTGTGAGAGAGAGAGAGAGAGAGAGAGAGAGAGAATTTACTAACCACGTGTTTACAGGTGATAGCTTTGCCGGTTATACCAAGATGAAGTTTAGCACCAAGGACAAAGACAACGATAACGAATCTGGTCAATGTTCTATTGGGTACAGGACAGCAGGGTGGTTTGATAGATGTTTTAGCGCGAATCTTAATGGTTTATACGTGAAAAAACCAAAGAACGACCCCACAACGTTGTGTTGGTACAACTGGGGTAACACTTGGAGGTCTCTGAAGTCGGCAAAGATGATGATTCGTCCTAAACAATGAGAGATCAAAAATGAAACTTGTCGATGAATTATCTTAAATAAATTGACTTTAAGAACTTTACAGTTTACTTTAAATATGTATAAATATTCAATAATTTATTCCAGCAATCCAAACTGGGCGTTTTTCCCTCAATCTTATGTGGCCAGTAATGAAATCGAGTTTTCAAATGAAAATCTTGTATCAATCAACCGGTTTATAAAAAAAAAAATTATCTAACGAATTTGAGTTACTCTGAACATAAAATGAGGGAACATAACAATTGAAATGTATAATGGGAACACACCTACCTCTGTACAATTGTCATAAACACATAGACTAGTGCAAATAATTAAGGAATGGAATATAACTCAACATGTGTACATGCTGAACACAAGAATGGCAAACGGCCATCTATAGTAACTTACCTTGCAGCAAATGAAATGGTAGAATTAAAAAAAAAG